CACAGGCCAGTGGACACTGATTGCCAGCACCACCAGAAGACAGGAGAGCTTAGTACAGATGCTCCTTCAGAGCCCCCAGAAGGTCACCCTGCTGTCGCCCTGATTTCTGACTTCTAGGCTCTACAGCTGTGATCCCCGACCCCTAAGCCGTGGACCAATAGAGCCAGGCCACAGATCATCACGGGCCTGAGCTCCACCTCCTGTCCCATCACCCCCAACTGCCCACTTTCCATGGAAAAATCGTCTTCTATGAAACCGGTCTCTGAGGCCAAAAGGTTCCCATCCATGACCTGTTAGGAACAGCAAGAGGTGAGCGGTGAGCAAGGGAAGCTTCATCTATGTTCACAGCTGCTCCCCATCTGTTTACTTCACCTCCAGAGCTCTGCCGCCTGTCCTATCCCCTACTTTCCTGTGTCCCATGAAACCAGGCCCTGGTGCCAAAAAGGTAGGGAACCGCTGCTCTGGACCTAGGATAGAACAGATTTCTGTTGTTTTAAGCCTCCTAGTTGGTGGCAATTTGTCAGAGCAGAACTAAGAAAGTGAATACCTACCTAGGAATACGGAATACCTGAAACCAGGAAAGTGAATACCTACCATTTATAAATGTGCATGAACTAGAAAAGAAAATTAACTTTCGGACACGTCTACACCGTGGTCCCTCCTTCCTTGTCCAACAGCTCTCCCAAATGTGTTTTCACTGACACAGGATTATGCTGCTACCAAAAGCTATTTACATCTGCTCTGCTCTTCATGGTTTCAGCTGAAAAGCACCATCAGAGCAGATGCAGAAAGGAAACAGACCAAGACGACAAGCAGAACTCATTCCCCCTTGTGAACAGAATGGTGGGGCAAAGATGACGGAGCAGCGTGTCCAGCACTGCTTAGCGCTTTGACTGAAGTTCAGCCCCTCCAAATAACAGACAGGTATGCTGCTTACTTCCTAGAGCCTCCATTCCCCACAGGGATACCCTCTACCAACCACAGGCCTGAGCAGCCCCGGAGTCCTTACGATTCATGAATCTCCTGCCTTCTCTTGGAAGACGCATCACGGTGTGTGCGTGGGGAGGGGGCTGAGTTGGCGTGCACACGTGCAGGCTTCAGAGTGTAGTTTTGCTTTTGGCTATTACCTTACCAGAATGTACATCCCTCATTCTACTCCTCTGTTCTTTGTTTTTTTTAATTTATGTCTGGAAAAAAGCAGTTGGGGAACGTCTACCTCACTTACTGGTACCCATTATGGGAGGCAAATATAAGTATGGATTTCACACGGGGCCTGTCCCGGTGTAAGCTCAAATATTCATCAAGATAGTTCAGAGACTAGTTTTCATTCATATTCAATGAATACTTATAGAGCACCTGGGTATGAGAAGCATGTATTATTTTTATAATTAATTTTTAATAGAAAAATTGTATATATTTATCACATACAACATGTTGTTTTGAAATACGTACACATTGGAATGGCTAAATCGAGCTAAAAAATAAATATATCCTTTGCCTCACATACTTGCCAATTTTTGGTGGTGAGAACACTTAAAAATGACTACTTTCCTAGCAATTATCAAGACTATAATACATTGTTATTAATTAGATTCACCAAGTTATACAATAGACAATTAAACACGGTCCATTTATTACTGAAAATCTGGACCCTCTGACCAACATCCTAGTCTTGTTCCACTGGCCCTGCTCAAGACTTGGAAACCACCATCCCATTTTTTACTTCCTGGAGTTCAACTTTCTTACACGCTGCATATAAGTGGGATCATGGGGTACACTGTCTCTCTCTGCCTGGCTTACTTCACCCGACATGATAGCCTTTAGACTCATCCAAGTTGTCCCAGATGACAGGATTTCCCAATAATATTTCACTGTGTGTATACATCCCATTTTCTTTATCTCTTTATCCCTTGATAAACACGCAGGCTGAGTTCATATCTCAGCTTCTGTGAAGAATGCTGCAATGAACACGGGAATGCAGATATCTCCTCCACTCC